AGAGAGAAACTCTCTCTCTGAAAGCCTATGAAATGCGCAGCACGATTGGAAACTATATCGAGCAGACCGACTATCTGCTGAGCTTATGGGGTAGTCGTATGGACGAATTTTAATTTTGTAATTTAATTGTTGCGTTGTCTCTCTCTCTCTCTCTCTCTCTCTCTCTTTCTCTTGTAATAATGTTTTAAATTGCGTGAGCCGCAATTCGAACTTCGAGACATTTACGCGATGTAAGCGGAACGGCGTATAACTTTTTATTCGGCGGGCGCAGAAATCAACGTAATTTTTACGATCCGCCGTAATTGCGGGGCAAGTGCCCGTTTATTTATAATACCGGCGTAAAAGTTACAATGTGCAGTCGTGCTTCGGAGACGTGGTAAGAGCTGTATTAATATATGACGCCGTTAAACCCGTCGCAATGACCTGCAATTGTTTTGTCTGAGCCAGTCATTTGTCGTACCATTAGAAATGGATTTGTCCATTGACCGTGTAATATAATGATAATTTAATGATTGCTATTGCGAGAACAACATCGCGCAATGATTCTCAGAGTATCAGTATGGATTTCGTCGAATCCTGTAGAACATATTTCTTTCGAGCGTAAAATGGCATAATAATATTTCAAAATAATTTATATATACATTTATAAACTAAATTTTTATTTTATTTCATTTTAAATTGTGTTTATTTTACATTGAATTATATTTTTATCACGTAAAATACGTATCATTAAGTAGAATAATATTAATATGTTATAAAATGTTAAATTTATTTTTTTATAATCTCTGTTGCAATCGCACAAAAAATAATTTGATTATTCCTATGTATATTTTTATATATTGTGTATTTTATTTTTATAGACAAAGGAAATGTGACATACGTTAAGCTATAATACGTAACGTTCTTTTTATTAATTTGCTATACCTCGAGTTATATCAATTTGACCGACTTTCGATTCGAATTGCCAGAGCTTTGCGGAAGTGATGCGATTCGCATTAAGTACAGCGTTAATTATTTCGTTTCTATCGACAAGAAATCCACTTCAGTGTTCCTCTTAACGAGAGTCATCGAAACCCCTTGACTTTATGGTGGCGTATCTGGCCGCGATTGACGTACCGTACTCGCGTTCAATAGCAGGATTCTGTATCCGAGTTTTGTAAAGCTGGCCGGGACGTGCTGCTGCTTCTTGCCGATCGATTTTTCGCATTCCTACGCCATTGAGCACAAGACCAGCATTGTTTGTTGTTTAAGTGCGAGATACCCGCCGCGACGGTTCGCGTGATAGGGGAAGTCGTAACGGGTCGCGGATACGGTTCGTAGTTGTTCGTACTTTGTGGGTTCTTATTGCAGAGATCGATCGCCGATAGTTGAGCAAGTACGTATTTGCATTGTGAGCCGCCCCATGAAACGCAATCCGCGATTGCATTGTCGCTGATAAGTGCGGAATATAAGCGGTATATAGAGAAAAGATTGATACGGAAACAAATTGATACAGAGAATTCGGGATGTCGATTAAGCTGAAAGGAGCTAGATAATATCGTTGTCTTGCATCTGCAGGGGAATATATAAATGTAAGTGTCATCTATCGAGCATCTCTAGACGAGAGCTATTTTGTCCAATTTTCAATCTCATGCTTCTGTCTAAAAAAGCATGGGAAACTTTAATTATCGAATTTAACATCGAATTTTTATCCTCACTGTGGAATATTGGACTTTTTAATAAATAATAATTTTTTCTTACCATCATTTTTTTTTGTTAGCTACCATCGAGATAAACGGTGATGAAAAAAAATACTTGGAGAAGATAAAAATTTCCACGTTCTCGAATATCGAAAACAGGCTCGGGCTCGACATCGAGACACGTCGCGAAGAAGAGACGCGTAATGAAGGAAGATGCGGCAAGTCTCGCTCGGTCGCGGCGTAGACAAAAATCAGAATTCCTCGTTCCCGGTCCGGCAACGATCTCGCGCGATCCTCTCGCGGGTTCGCTGCGAGAGGTCTTGGAGCAGATGGATACACGTGTTGGGCGTCGCGGACGAACGGGCTACGTCGCAATGCCTCGCCGTTCGCGTGTGGTGCACCGCGAGACGCATGCCGCCTCTCGATTACGAGACGCCCCTCGCGCGCGCGCGCGCGCGCGCGCGTGTGTGTGTGTGTGTGTGTGTGTGTGTGTGTGTGTTGAGACGCGAGATAAGGCATTTTTTCTGATTTCATACAAGTATACACGCGCACGCATGCACGCATGATTGCGTACGCGCGTCGCGCAGTAGTGCGGCCGGTCTCGCTTTTCTCACCCCGCGGTCGAGTGGCCCCTTCCCTTTGCTTCCCTCGGCGGCGGGATCTAATGATTAATTAAGCTTTCCGAGAAAACGCAACAAGTGAAACATTATTAACGCTTAGTGGCACAGTTTAGCCCGGATCAGCAGCGGTCGGGGTCTCTCCCCTTCGCCCCTTTGTGCGTGATCTAACGTACGCATTTCCTGCTCGCGTGAGCACCTTGAGACTTCGACTTTTAAACTCAATTGATGCAGATAAAGAGCACAAATATTTTCGACTTCTGCCGAATCTTTTTTTTTATTTAATTAATAAGTATGTAGTGGAAGATACATTTTTATTTTTCGTGAAGACATGAAATATATCTGAGCATTATATAAGTCATTAAATCTTATCAACTTCTTCATTAGGAATGATTTGACTTGGCTGACAAACAAAAATACAAACAAAAGAAGAGACTGGAAGATTTGCATTTCAAAAATATATTATTTACTAGAATCTATTTCTTGAAAAAAATCTGCAAAACTTGGAAAAAAATTTTCAAATTTATTGAGACTCGATTCTGTATTTTACTTTATAATTTATAAAATTTTATAAATGAAATATTATAATGAAAATTAATTTTATTTTATAATATGAACATTTTATAATGAAATTTTATAAATATATTAAAAATTTTGCAGAATAAATATATATTTATTTTTAAGATATATTTAAAAATACTTTCATTTTACCTCGAATTTTTACATATTTATTTTAAATACTTATTAAAAAATTAACTTTTCTTATTTTATTAGAAATTTAAACTTCTTTAAATATACAATTATCTAAATACATTATTAACAAAAAAAAATATCTAACTCTTTAATTATTCAAACATCATTAATTTCTTTTAAATCTTATAATATCAATTCAATTTATATAACAAATTTCCTTGATAATTAGGGAATTTTCAGAGAATTTTTTTTATTTGGGATATGAGTAGACTCTGTGTTTAATAAATACATATACAATTTAGCTTTTTATGAATTTCGACATTAAAACTATTCTTGCAATCTAGGTACAAAATAATGAAAATTATTATTTGTCAAGAAAAGAAAAGTCTGTAACAGATTTCTCCTTTAACCTAAAGCTTATCTGTTATCGCAACTTTTTGACTGCATTCAACTCACGGAACGGTACAACGCGGCGCCTCGATGCATCAAAGCGTGTCGCCATCTGCGTTTTGCATCGGTTCGCTTCCTCCTTGCGCCTTGTATCTTTAGAGCTCGCAGGCTTTTGAGTAATTTCCGTGGAAAGATGATACGGCGGTTACCATTTACCCGCATCAGAGCGCATCTCCATGGTCTATCATCGCCGTATGCGTTTTCTATTTCTCTGTGTACGTTTCCCAGCTCGCGGGCGCTATTTAGCGTTTATGAATAATTAGCGTGGAGAAGCGACAAGACGCGTTCTTGCGCGCATGAAAGCGCGTCGGCGTGCTTCGTCGTCTGCGTCGTTTTTTTTTTTTTTTTCATTGCGAGCATCGTTCAAACTTACACTTCTGTCTTTGCTACTCTTCTGCTACTCTTTGAATTGAAATTGAAAGGAGTTCAGACGAAGCTACTCATGTAGCACTAAATATTTGTATCTAAATGAACATCTTTTAAATATCTATCATTAAAAAATTAAACTAATTTAATTAGATATCTGGTAATTAAATTAATTTAATTGGATATTTCAATCAATTGGTAAATCAATTAGTTTTGGCCACGTTTTCTTTGTTTTCCTTTTCTTATGCATGGCGTTTGTTGTTATGTATAGTGAACGTGCTCGAGTTAATGTATCAAGTGCAAAAATGGCTTCCGGAAATGCGCTGCGCAATCTTTATTCCAGGTTAGAGCAACGGATGCTGAGATTGCACATCGAGCTTGATCTCAGGATGCATGCGGGGAAAAAGAGCAACCGTACGCGATGGAAAAAATTGGGACGTGCGTATGATGTAGTCGGATCGAGTCGAGATAAGCCGACGTGAATCGGCTATATCGATTACCGAGATCTACATCTACGGTGGTCAAACTACATTAATGATTACGCTAACGGAAGCAACTCGTTGTCCGAGGCCTGTCAACGAGAAATATATTTTCTTGCTGTTTTAGTCTATATATTATAGCTATATATGCAATATTTTAACTTTCTTATCGTATATATATATATATATATATTACATAAATCTCTATAAATCACATCGTATATATTACATAAATCTCTTTATACTAATGGCGTTATATTCACAATTTTTTCCTACTTGCTACTTTTTAGATAAATACAAAAAATAGATAAAGAGATATTTGATTTTATATATTTCAAATATATTTATTTTTATTGTTTATCTTGTTATGAGTAATTTATTAGAAACACTTTCAATGAAAATAGATATATATGTCAGAACGCAAAGGATTAAACGGGTTTATCTCTGGCATTATCGGCTGCAATTCACCATCATTGCACATCTGCGAAAGTGCGCGTTAGCCATTTAATGAAGATTAAGATCGCATTCTTGAAATTTCTAACTCAATGAAAGCAGGCGAATGGGCAATTCGGTCGGCGATAAAAGAGTAATTGCCTCGCTCGGCGCGAATGGTTTTCGGTCACGAAAGTATAGATCGCACTCATCATTGCGCTCATTGATCTTCATATTTGCACAATGGTCATCAATTTACATGTCTTTCTTTGTTTTTATTACAGATCGATTCTAGCCCTGATGACGCTGAGCATGGCCGGTGTCTCGTCATCCCATATGCCCGAGAAATATCCCATAGAAGTAAGTGAAAACGATTACGATTTTTCTTTTACGAATTTGAACTGTCAAATATTCTCCAGTAATGAAAAAATATTTTTATTAAATTAGATTGAAACAAATATTATTTATTGCAGTGGTTTAAACATTTGAAAATTTGAAAAACAAATAATAATTTTAGTCTTTTTTAAGGATATATTAGCTATTTATTATTACCTATTTTTATTTACAATGAAAGAAATTATAGATTATTCTAAATCGCATTTAAAAGCAATATAAAAAATTTTGCGGTTTAGAACCTGGATCAAAATTTATTTAAATATCTCTGTATCATAATAAAACTTTACATACAACTTTACAAATATGATCCTGAATATTCAAAATACTTAGATAAAAAAGAAATTTTTGTTTTTATTCCTTAATTATATTTAGAGTATAGAGTTCTACTTATTTATTTAAATAATCTTTATCTAGGTTCTAGACCCGCGCTAAACTTTCTAATATTACTTTTATATATGGTTTAAAATAATTTGTAAGTTTTTCATAATTTTGTCACTGTAAATATAAAATCATAAAGATAGGTGTAAATTATTTTTAAAAATAATCTTGAGAATACGTTTAAATAATGTTTCGGTGCAAAATAGAACATCGAATAGTTTTATTAAATACTAAACGACGCGAAAGGATTGATTTCGCACAGACGTTCGCACGCGCGACATGAATTTGGCGACAGGCTAGTTACCCCGGCTTTCATTCAAACTCGATGTCGCCGAATTAAATGTCAGCAAATAATCACGTCCGCGACAAGCTCGACTTGATCTCATGATCTCGGCCATCGTGACAATCCCGCTCGCCCCTTCTTCGACGACGGGCCTCGTCGCGCGTGATGCATATTAATTCGATCCACTTGCGGGAATTAATACGCAATTACGTGGCCGCTATACCGGGTGGCATCAGCGACCACACCGAGTGGGGGTAATTAATTGACACTGAGAGGAGGACCCTAAATTACTATTGCAGAAAGCACGCCGGGAGCAAGGCCACGTGGCGCGCGCGACACGACAACGAACGCAAACACGGCCCGCGTGTTGTGCGCTGTAACCACCGCCGTCACCACGTTATAATTACACTTAAAGAGCCCGTTTGTTCTGGGAAATGGTTGCGGCATTACGGCCGACATGAAAATAGACATAGATATGGCTTAGGAAACGTGGCGCATCTCGGTATTCGAGATAATACCTGCGAGATCCTCGTTGCGAGCTTACGCTGACTTCTTATTATTATTAAGCTGGAATCTTCATCATCGCAAATCGAGTTCATGCTCATCAAAAAAATTTGATGCTACTTAATGGTGCTAATTTGTTGCTCTATTTCCAATTTTTTGCTCCAGCCGATTCGGTAAAGACAAAGCTGTGCTAGCGTAAGATTAAAGATTAAGCGTAGCCATAAAGAAAAAAAGCAGGAAATTAAAAAACAAACATTTTTTGTAGTGCTATTTTTTTGCTAATTAGTTGTTCAACTAATGCTAATTAGTTGTTTTCGATTCTTTCGTATTTCTACTTGTAGATTTGACTGTGCGGTATTCTGTAGTACATAATAACAAATTTCCACTAAATATTTTGATGAGTGCGAATTCGATTTGTGATGGTGAAGGTTTCAGTTTAATGGAAGTCTTATGCTGATGTCAAAGTCGCTTTTCCGAAGCGATCGGTATTTCTGGAATTGTTTTATTGATATTGACACTGAGATTGTAATAAGAATTCCATGAATTATGCAATTTCAATGAATTTGCTAGTTTCCTTTCAATTGTAAATGTTTCATCAATGATTCATATTTAAAATTTTTTTCCATTATGACTTAACGTCTGTTAGTTTTATATATGATTCTGTATAATTTTATATATTTACATAGAGGTATTTTTTTATAATTTTTTTATATTAGAATCAAATATAGAAAAACATTAACAATAAATGAGAATAAAAAGACCAATAAAATGAGGAAAATAAATGTCTAATTATTAAAAAATATGTATATTTAATAACTTTAACAATTATTATTCAGATTATCAAATAAACAAAGACGGATCTATATATGCAAATCTACAGTTAAATTTTATAATAACAATTATTATTCAGATTATCACACAAAGACGGATCTATATGTGCAAATCTACAGTTAAATTTTATAATAACAATCTTAATTATTTAAAAAAAAAATTTGTTTTTCTATATAATTTCCAAAACATGCTTATAATCCAAAATATTCTTACTTCTTTATATTGCTCGTTCTGTTGGTATCTTTTTATTATTATTTATTGTATTTTAATGAGCTACTCTACATGTTTAGTAAAAAATGTTCAAATTCAACTCGATTAAACTGTAATCAGATTTTTCATTTCACTCAGTCGATGTATTGTTTAAAAATATATGAGAAATTCTCTTTCTCTTTTCCTCGCCATGAAGTTATTGAATTCGCATTTAAATTCTTGAATTTGTGCCCAATGAGGTCTCATTATTCCGTACTGTAAACGTCTCTTCATGTATACCTAACGTGAAATACGTATTTCCTTCTTTGTGCGCCGCTTGTGCTGTATAAGCGCTGTGATTAACGTTCCGAAGTTAATGCCAGGCATTAAGGAAGTATTAGTCTGCTGCTCTCGGGGTTAACGACTTGCAAAAAAAGCAGCTAAGAGCTCTCCGTTCGGATTCCAAATTCGCCGTTAACGGGGGGGGGGGGACGCATGTCGAAAAGTGCAGTCGCACGCGTTATGCACATTTTCTCTCTTGTGAAAATTTTAAATCTTTATCGTCTCATTAAAAGTAGCGGCGATTCAACGACACGCAAAGACAGACGTGGGCGAAACAAAAGTCACATTTAACGTGCCGTTCGAGAGTTAAATCTCGAACGTTGTTTGTCGCCGCGAGTGCGACAAAATCGACGATTATGTATTCCAGAATTCTCGAAATATCGCGCGCAAGAGAGCGAGATGATACGTACGATTTCTCGTACGTCGCGTTTGATTAATTGGAGGTGCGCGATCGAAGGGAGGATGAGGTATAAAGCGCGGGAAATCCTCCATGAGAACGTTATGCCTCTCTTCCAAGTCTCAGAACGACGCTACCTTGGCGAACTTCCGGCAGAAGTTAATGCAACGGGTAGCCCGTGGTGCGCGGAGATAGATCGAACGCCATAAATTTAGCGCCGTGTGTGCAATACGGTAATCGATCCTTCGTTTAATTAATCACGACAAGGGCCCGCGGTACCGAAACGCACCCGATCTAATTGGAATCTCGTTCGCGGTAGCGATATTAATTACCGAACAAACAGTTTGTGCTCTATGATGCCGGCGTCCGATTAACAGGAACAGAATACCAGACGTATTCGCGTATCTGTCTCATCGTTTAATTACCATCCGGGTATCTGTCTTGGTTATTTTTTTGTTTTTTTTTTTTTTTTTTTTTTTTATATTGCAATACACCTCTCTTTGCATTCAGCAATCTGTCTACCGTGAAAAATGCATGACACGAGAAAAAACGAGTAATAAGAAAATAAAACTTACTTAAATCTTGGAATGCTTGTTAAATAAAAATAGCTTCGAATATATAAGTTATTTGTTAAAGAGATAACCTAATTCAGATTTTAAAGAATAATCGAGGGAATTAATAAAATGTAATCATCTTTAGATAAATTCTTCAAATAAAATATATAACATGTAGTAATCAGACGTGAGCTTATCTTTACTTGATAAATATACTTTTCTTTAAGATCTTTTTAATATTATGTTTGATTATAAATACTCGGTGATTAACGTTTAATTATGATTAATTGGAACGGCGTTGATTTCTCTCTAGGTGTATCATATGTTACAAGAAAGAACGCAGTTTGGAATTAGCCATGACAACAGGATAAGAGGGACTTGGGGTACGTGGAGCTCATGGAGCGAGTGCTCTAGATCTTGTGGTACTGGTATTCAATCCCAGTTTCGGGAATGCGTCCCTTTACGGTAAGAACATTCAACATGCAACAAATTAATAAAAATCTTGATTGAATTAATAATAAATAACGAGAAAACGCTAATTAACATAGCATTACAAACGTCAATTCAATTTTGAAAAATTGACAGCTTTAAAATTATTTAATAATGAAAATTATTTAATAAACATATAATAAGGAATATATTTACGACATTATTTCTTCGGTATTTCTTTTCGCTTGTATATTCTTATGAAAATAAAGCGTAATGTAAAAGCGTGACGAGGAGGGTCTTTTAAACCCCGAAGATCGAAGCGTATCCCGTATCGCGGCCATATCTTCACCGTCCAAATATCTTCACGCTCGATTAATGATTTCCACACCTTGCTTCACCTTTTGTCCTTGCGACATGGGGGAGCACAATTTTCTGCGGGAGGTCATGACAGGGGACTCGGTAATCGTCGGACGTCGCGGCTTCATCGCGAGAATGCAAAGCACCTTGCGATAATGCGCGGTCGATCCTAACAATAATCATATGCCTCGCGGTACCGTTAGGGCCTCAATTGCAATTTGGATCGTAAGTGGACTTGCTAGACGAGTCGTTGCATTTCGCACAACTCACGGAACCAACTTTGGAACCTCGTGCGCGAATACGCTACTCCTACTCCTTCGATTGATCGATCAACCATGATCTTCTTTATCTCTTTACGCGAGAAACATACAGGGTGTCTCGAAGTCGTCGATTTTCCTTCCTTATAAAGACGTAAATAGTTCCTTTTTCTTCGACGACGTAAAGAAACAAATCGAGGTCGAATAGATCGAGCTGCACTTTTTAACGCAATTTTAGAGCTATTTTATATTTAATTTATTTTTATTTATTTTATCTTATTTACTTTTTATTTCTATATTTAGAGCTATATTACGTTTAAATTATTTATTTATCCGCGTCTTTAAAATATTTGGAAGATAGCTTAGAATCAGAGTAAACTGCTGAAAATGGATCTAATGATGGATGCATATTTATTTTGATAAAAAGAATTCTTTGATATTACGAAACATTTTTGGAATAAATCTTATGCTATAATCTTTTGCTTTGTACAGAATTTATATTATATCACGAATATGAAGAGCTTCGATAAAAATTTTTACTACTTTATTGGAAATCATACTCGAGATTGTATCATGACGCTTATACAAATATTTGCTCGATACGCAAGAGCCGCCGTTTACTTATCATTTAAGTACGTTTTTCTTCGTGTTTCCTTCTTCGCTAACAAACGAATTTTGTCATCGATAAAGAATTTTATTTTACTTTGAGATCATACGTCATACAAAGTAAACTAAAAATACTACTTTTTGAGGAATAAATGAATATACAAAATTTAAATAAAAAAGCATGAATAACTTGGAGCTCGTTTCACGCTGAAAGTTCACCCCGTACACCCTGTATGTCCTGTCCGGCTAGCTATAAAGGAGCGTGCAAATTACGGATCAGTAGCGTAAGAAGATTATACACCGGCAGGCCGACGACTCCTGCGAGCTTCTCCCGGGGGCAGAAACGTGTTGTTATCGCCACTGACATTTACACCTTCGTAACGCTACCGCGAGCCGTTACGTGACTCGCAATGTGAATCTTTGCGACGAGTTCATGCTATACGAGTAAATACAAAGTAGTCAGTATCTCGCGGTTGCGGATCGCTCGGCGACTTGAGCTTGACTTCTCCTTAACGATCATTTACATTAGAGGTCCTGATTGATGATTATTTATTTTGTCACAGGCGATTAAGAAATATGGAATCAATCATATTTTTTTCTATTTTAACTCCACCGAATGTTGTAATGTCGATTGATGTTTAATGATCAATTGTTATTCTAAAAAAATTGCTGTATAAAATTTTTATAAAATGTTTAAATTAAAAAATGAAATAATTAAAATGTACCAAAAAGAGAAAGTACGAATTCTCAAATCATTTTGTTCAGTTTCATGTTTAAATAAAAAAAGGAGTACGATGTATTGAATCATTTTCTCATCTAATTATTATGCTAAAACCTATTACCTGTTTTAGCATAATAAAGTGAAAAATAATATATAGAAAAAACATTTCTTCATCGTGTATATTTTCTCTTTCTCTTCTCTCTCTCTCTC